GAATATCTATTTTAAACTATATCAGAAGAGTTTGTCCGGCAGGGTTTCCCTGACTCTTCTTTCGTTGATAACAGTCTATGGACTAAGCAATATCACTAACACTCTTGAATATGTATCAAAACATAACTTTATTTTATTTTATAAAATCAGCGAAACAATAATGTCTGACATTTGTCATTTCACAAATAACAAATTACATCCTACTTTATGGACACATTTCCAACATGAACACCCACATCGGCAATAACATCATCTTTGGGGAAGCAACTATAGGACTCGCCATCAACCGTGGGGTTCGCTTTCACCATATCAATGATATGGTACAACATGCCAAGGGCTTTATTAAGAAGAACTTAGTATCTTTGTTGGCATTGTTCCAACATAGTTAACCTGTCTTTTACTGACTTCACCTCAGCATACATTTTTTCTTCAAAATCATTCGAAGAAGAACTAGCCTTTCTCCTAGAGGGTTCGACGTGTGTCTTTGTCTTAGGGATTGGCTCAATGAGTGGCGCAATCCTTTTTGCCACCACCCTCTTTTTCTCTTTTCTTCTAGGATACAAGCCGACTATGTCAGGATTTTGTAGTTCTTCCTCGGTGGGTGTCACCATATAAAAGACATGCTGCATAAAATGTACGTAAATGAGTTATTAAACAAAAACAGTGAGTTATTAAAATGTAAGTACATCGAAGATGACTAAATGTGTATGATGGGCTTACCTTTCCTTGCTTGGTGCCAAGCGTAAAGACCCGCCGAATGTCATCATACAATACCTGGTCTTTTGAAGACCACGAAAGCATTCTTGGAGTGTGCTCACCAAGATATGTAGCGAAATTCTTTCCTACTTTTGGAATTCTCTCGAACGCCCAGACCAATAGTGGATGAGGGAAACTGATGAAATTGTAGTGCATTCCAGTACTTTTTCCCTTGCTCTTAATCTTGTTCATTACCACATACCTGATGTTATATCTTGTCATCTCCCATGAAGGAATCCCCTAAGGATAGTTGTTGAATGCTTCTAGGTAGTTGACCAACTCAACATAGGTCTCTGGAATTCTTACTGTTTTTGCATTTGATAGTATAATGTTGGAAAGCACGTACAAAAGCCATATCCTGACCGCATCATCATCACTGTCATATTTCATGTTGGGGTCGGATAGTGTTTGCTCAATGGCTGCCCTCGTGACGTACGATAGATTTTTCCAGTACCGTTTGTGGAGACGAGATTTTGCAGACACAGGCTTCAAGTGTGTTGAACCAACACACTTAAGACCGGTGATGAGGGCATACTTAGCTATGAAAAATTGCCTGATGTCGTCCCCAATAGCAAAGAATAAAGAGTCATCTATTTTTTCATCAACAGCGGCCAAGCGCATGATAACACTGTGGACAACTTGGACAGCCCGCCCAAGCTTCTGGAGGTTCAAAAAGTTCACTACGGCAGGTTGAAGCTGCAACTTCTCAAATTGAGTCCGTGTAAGACCCTGCCGTAGTATTCTCATTGTTTCCTCACAGTTAACAGTACGGTTTATTTTACCGTTCTTGATGTCCTCGTCTGAAACTATTCTCATGAACTGTAATAATACTAATATGACCGGTCATACTAATATAAAGGCAAGACAAACAAAAAACACAGACAAAAAAATATATCACACCTTATGGGCCGGTCATACTTAAATGACTGGACGGTCATTATATTATGACTGACTGCAATGTTAGTAATTGTATAATATTACTAGTTCCACCATACAATGTTACGAGTTCCACCACAATGACAATCCATTGAAGCTCACAAATTTTAAATAACTGACCTTAGTATCTGTTTTATCTTCCTCCAAAGGCATCTCTTCCTCTAAAATCTTTTTTTTTCTTCTAAGATGACAAACATTGGTAAAAAAATAATAAATACAAAAAAAAAAATAAAGCAAACAAAGTTGTTAACCAATGTACTATGACTGGGACACTAAGAATTCGACAATTGTTCGGTCATAGTATTATGACCGACGGTCATAAGTGTTATGACTGCTGCACTAACAGTCTGATAATTGTGTGTTCACATTACTATGACCGATGGTCATAATGCTATGACCGCGGGCTCATTAGTCAAACAATCGCACTATGCGCCTGCCTGCCTAATGGGCGGTCATAGTAACTATGACCATCGATCATAATTACTATGATCAGACAATGTGACTGTCTTATGACCAGTCATAATAAAATTACTAAGCGGTCATAATGATATGACTGCCCATTAGGCAGAGTCACAAACCAAATAAGGAGCACAATCACAATCCAATGACCCCAAAAAATTTTAAATAACTGACCTTATCTGCTTTTATCTCTTCCTCCAAAGCCTTTCTTTTATTCTAAGATGACAGAAAATGGTAAAAGAAAACAAACAATAAATACCTAAGAAAAAAAACAAATAAACAAGAAAAGCCAACAAAGTTTTCACCTTTGTCTCGGAATCGACCATTGACCTCGTCTCTTTTCTGGTTGATTTCTCCTATGAAGAGGGGGAGGTTTTCTCGGTTTGTTCTGTTAGGAATGGTGTCCCAGAAGCATGAGATGTAATAGGATATTTATTATTTATTTAATGAAAGAGTTTATTTATTATTTTATGTGCATATATTTTATGAATATCAATGAAAATTTCATGATTATTTATGTGACTTTAAACGCTGTATATAAGTGTTATATACGAAAGGATAATATTTAAGGATAATAATAAAAAAATGATGCTCATAATGAATTTAATTAAAATTCATAATTTTTAATTAAAACATTATTAATACATGTCATTCCCATTTAGAATGGAATGGTGATATCCGCACTATTAATATGACGAGCTATTGAATGAGTGTATTTCGTATAATGAGATTATGTGGAACAAGGACACATACACAATATGAATTTCTAATAATTTCTGTTAAGTATAGAAATTCTAATTGAGTCTACTGATGGTCATATATAGAATGATCTTAATCCTGAGTTCTTAACAGACTCTTATTTATGGATTTGTGTCTTTTGATTTACTCGGTACGGATTCTGAGATCCTGAATCATATTCCTTATATTTTAGAGAGATGATGAAGTAGGTAGCAGGGAATGTTATTACACGAGATGGAATCCATTCCTTTTTGAGAAAGAAGTAGATAAATAATTCTCTTGAGGGTTGATTTGGTACTTGGACCAATAAGAGCTCCATTTCATGAATGTGTTTTATAAATCACTGTCCATTAGAGAATCAATGGTACTCAAGAATAAATATGTAATTAGAGAGGTTAACGAATTTTACCTAGCTCTAATTATGAATTATTTATGGAGGATTGATCTATATGCAGTGACTATATCACATGGACACTTCACAATTTAGAAGTAATTTATATCTATAATTTCGAGAGTGCAATTTCAAGTTTATAGTGGAGTAACTATTAGAATTAATACAATTAATTAATTAATTAATTAAAGTGTTTAATTAATTATTAATTTTATTAGAGCTGGAGATTATAGGTCCATTAGTCCCCTCATCGTCCTAGTAATTTTACAAGGCACAAAGGGTAAGATGAGAATTTAGAATTATGAAATTTTAGAATTACGGAATTTTAAAATTAAACACTCGAGAATAATTAATTAAGAATTAATTATAAATTAAATAATGTGATTATTTAAATTTAAATTTAAATTTTGGATCACTTATGTGAAGGTGTTCACATAGTGTGAATATATTTAAACTTATAAGATAAGTTGTTCAATTTAGAATTCAAATTAATTTAAGTTTGACTTAAATTGAAATTTGAATTTGAATCAAAATTGAACTGCAGGATAAAAGATGATTTTCTCTTCCTTCCCTATCTGATATTGATGCCTATACAGGGATAAGATCCCCAATGAATGGCTGACCATAATGGATAGAAGAGAATAGGAGATTTTGTTTCAAATTCAAATAGGAGATAATTAACAAGTTTTATCTTGGAGATAGAGATTAGATTCCTTCTAGAAGTTTGACTTCTACTCTATAAATAAGAGAATAGTAGAAAATTGTGAGATACAATTTTAGAAACAATTTTTACCCTAATTTTTAGAGTGTGGCCGAAATTCTCTTAGAGTGAGAGAAAAAATATTTTTCTCCAAAAAAAATTCTACATCGTGCATGCGATGATGTTTGTGGAAATTTGAGTATTTGTTCTAACCCATTTTGTCTCAGGTGTGCCCACACACACGTCTTCGTGGATTCTAGGAATTGATGTGAAAGACATTAGTTTTCTAAACACAAAGTTTTGGAGCAAGGATTGTTCGAGGTCAAAGCACTCAAGTTATCATCCTAATAGGCCGCGAGGTATTATTCGTAATTGAGTTCTCAATAAATGAATTAATGAGATTAATTTATTCGTGCATAAATTAATATAATCTATAGAATATCTCAAAGGTTTTATGAAAATTTTTGTTATACACGATCCGCTACCCCACGCTTCCACATCCGAATTCAATTCAGAAACCAACATGTTCTTCTCCGACAAACAGGTTTAGGCGTTGATTTCTCCGGCGATGGTTTGTCGGTTCTCATCGCGTGATTGCGTGGGTTTTCATTGTCGTGGGTTTGTCGATCCTCAAGGTGGTAGACGGTGGTGGTCGTTGGGGTTTCTTGGTCTCTGTGCACACCCGCGTTCGTTCTCCTCCTATCTCTACTTCAATATTTGAATTAGAAAAGGCTTCGTAATATATACTCAAGGCTTTAAAACTGAAATGTGACAAAATTGTCATTTTAACTCAAGTAAAACCGGTCGGGTCCCACTTTCGCTGACATGACGATCATAATTGTGAAAGTATACAAAAGTGGTGCTAAAATTAATAATCATTTACTCATGAGTACTATTATTGAAATTAATCCTAATATTTATTGTCCTTATTACTACAATGTTCAATTGAGATAACTATTTTTGATGAGCCCAAGATCATAGCGTTCGAAGATGAACAAACGAAATAAAAGGTGAGACTTATAAAACAATTATTACGAACTTGTAAAATTTAGAAGTAAGAAAGAAAGATAATTATGGCTCTGTTTGGAATTAATCCCATTTTTATTTTTTACGTTTTTTGAGAAAGAAAAATAAAAACGTTTATAAAACGGCATCAAAAAGATAAAAAAAAAAAAAAAACAGAAATGAAAATGATTTTTTTGGTTTAGTGTAAAATGAGAGAGAAATAAAAAACGACTTTTAGTCGTTTTTCTTTTTTTGTTTTCATTTTCTCCTCTCTCGAGCAGAGAGAGAGAGAAAGATAGACATTATTAGGTTTTTTTACACTGAAAATAATCTCTTGATAAACTACTAAATATATTTTCAAAAATGATTTCTGCCTGAGATTGAAAACGTTTTCATTTCATTTTCATACAAAAAATAAAATCATTTTAAAACGAATTTCACACGCGCCTTATATGTAATTAGAAGCCGGGTTCTTTTACTAAGGGCATGGTGAGATTCTTAGGGGTTGTTCTTTTGCTACAAAACTAAAAAAAGTTTGAATTCGAGTACAACTTTATTCAAGTTTATGTTCTTTTGTAAAATTTGAGTTTGAATTCGAGTTTGAACTCGAGTTTGGGGCTAAATTCGAGTTCAAGTTTCTCATTCAACTCGAGTTCATAAACTTGAATTCAAGTTAATGAACAGTATTTTTTTTATTCTTAAAAATGTCATAACTTTTTTGTTTTAATTATGATTGAGATGATTTTTTTTCTATGGATTCACAATGAAAATACGAATAAAATCTCACCCATATACCCTATTAAAATTTTTCATCACCATTGAGTTGTTATTAAAATACTATCTAAATATAAATTTAAGTTTTAACCCACATAAACACAAACTCAAAAATATTCTCAATTCAAATTACAACTCAAATGTACACATCCAAACACAAACTCAAGTTACAACTTTAACTCAAATTATAACTCAAACTCAACTCAAAATCATTACTCAAATCACCATAACTCAAAAATATAAAAGAACAACCCTTTAATAACAATTAACAATCCCTGCTTTTAATGTATAAATTAAAAAATGATGCCACTTAAAATCGTATATATGTATATGATGAATACGTATAATCTACAAACCAACAAACAAAGCACAGATGGAAGACAAAAAAACAAACGAGGAGAAAAAAGGGACATCAAAGTTGTCATGACAAGGAAGAATGGCGAAAGAAAGGAGATGAATTATGATTTATGCATTTGAAGTTGATGCTCATGAATAATTGTCATCATATGTATTATATATAATATATGTTTATAATATTACAAGACAAATCCACAAAATGTCCCCACCGCCCCAAATCTGTCTCTTTGTCAACTGTACAAAATTTTTTTTACCATTTTTCCTTATTTCAAATCACAAAATTCTTCCATCATTAGATTTAAGTCAAATTTTAAAATAAATAAAGTTTTTTTTTAGGTTGTCGGTCTCTTTTTTAAAATTCTTTCTCCCCTTCTAATTCATTTATTTATTGTCCATCAATTAAACAAAATTATTGTCCATCAATTAAACAAAATTATTGTCCATCAATTAAACAAAATACTAAATTTATCTTGGCAAAAAAAAAAAAAAAAAAAGTTCTGAAACTTAAGTTAAACTTTTTATTAAGGAACTTCAACATTTCAACTTTATTTATAGAAAATTTTCATATCAAATATTAACCAAATTTCACAACAAATTGGAGATATATATATATATATATTTTATAAATAAAAAAAAGAAATTAACACTTCTATTAGAAAAAACCAAAAAAAAAAAAAAAAGAAGAAGCCAGTTTTACCATTTTCTGACATGATGATGAATCATTATCATCTCCCAGCTAGCATTAACAAGCCGGAGAGCATAGTAAAATCAAACAAAACAAAACAAACCCACTTTGGAATTTCCCTTCTCTTCTGCGAAAGAACAGAACACAGTCTTTCTTGTCTTCCATGGGAGACAACCCAGACCCATAAATCCCAGAACCCACAATCCAAAAAAGAAAAAGGAAAGCTTTCTTTGCTGTCTTTCATGGCGGATTCCAATTCCACCAGTACCAGTAGCCGCAGAATCAGCAATAGCAATAGCAATAGCAGCAATGGAACATCATCAATCGCGAGCTTATCCCAAGACCATCTCTTGACAATCCTTCGTCTCTTACCTGTTGATTCGATTCTCTCCTTCTCCATGGCCTGCAAGAAGTTTAAATCTATAGCTTCTTCAGACGCTCTCTGGGAATCCATTTGCAGAAGGGACTGGGGACCCACTTCAGTTGATGCTCTTCGTCATCATCATCGTAATCGAAATCATCAGATTCAGATTCCATGGATGAAGCTGTACACGCAAGTCTCTAAGATGGACTCTGTTTCTTGCTATAAACTCTCAGACCCAACGATAACACTAACACCCTCTCAAATGGATTTAATGGCTTATCCACAGTCCAGAGCTTCTCATTCTCTCAATTTTGTCTCTGATTGTTTGGTCTTGTTTGGTGGTGGCTATGAGGGAGGTCAGTTACTCATCCTTCTTCTTTTTCCTCGTTTATTTATTTATTTATTATGTGTTGTTTACAGTATGTATTCATTTTTTGAGTATTTATTGTTGTCAATAAGATGTTGTTATATTGGACTGAAATGGGTTTTGGTTAAATTTGTTATTTTGTTTTGGTTGGAATCTGAAAGTGGGATCTTTTCTCTTTTCAATCCTGTCACTTCTTGGTTCTTAGATTATGGATCTTTTTGGACTTGCTTATGCTTTGTTTAACAAGTCTGTAAAACAGTGGAAAATATAGTGAGGATCATAGCAAGGGATTGCTTAAATATTAACACGCTTTCTACTGAATACTATTTTTGTTTTGTTTTGTTTTATTTATTTATTATAGCAAGTGATGTGGCAACTGATATCTAGATTATCATTTTCAAATTGGTGATTCTGTGTATAAACAAATATATTTTACCAATTGAGCTTTAACAACTTATTTGTCACGTTATTTGATTCAAAAATAATTGGTAGATAACTTGAGATCTATAGACGTTGCCCATATTTATGTTTGTACCTATAAGATAACCGCAAAAAAAAAAAAAAAAAAAAAGGTATTTTGGTTAGATACACCTTGTGTTCTATTTGCAATTGTTGCTTCAGGATACAAAGCAATAACACAATGACTGGAGTCAACCACTATTTGGGAGAGTTAATTTTTCTTCCTTTCCTTTTTTTTTTTCTCCATATTTTTTGGTTATAACTTTCTAGGTATATAAATCGTCGGAATGGAAAGAATATACAAACAACATTGCTAGTTACGGAAAATAATTCAAGCCTACTTCTGCTTCAAGGCCTTTAAGCTGGCTTTGATGAATGACATTGAATCATTAGAGCTTTAATAACATAGACGTGATTCATACGCCTACACTTGAAGCCTTATGCAAGATAGTTTTTAGTGAAATTTCCAGTATCATAGCAAAAAAGAGAGATGGAAATGCCAATTGAGGTTTGTCACCCTAAAGTTTTAAACACATTCAAAGAAAATCATTGGTGCCGTAGCTAAGCTCCAGAGTTTCTTTCTGAATTCCAAACATAATTATGATATGAGAATAAATGATCCCTGGTTTTCAAGCTAGAATTCAAAAGGTTAGTTCTAGGTATTTAGCTAAGCTGTGGAGTTACCATCCAAATTCCAAGCACAACAGTCCACGAGGATAAATAATCTCTGGTTTCCTTGTGCGGTAAAGCCCGTATAGGCAAGGTGTGTGCATTCTGCTCCTAGGTACGAAACTGGTAATTAAACCGGTTTTTGGAATGTGAGCTAAGAAAGCATAGAAGATAGACCCAACCTACAAAAGCAAGCCCCCATCTAAGGACTGTTTTAGAGGTGTTGGCTACTTCTACTTCTGAGTTCTCTTATGGAAATAAGACCTATACCAAGCACCCACAGACCAAACCAGTCCATGTACAAAGCTTTACTTTTCAGTTAGCAGCTATATTTTGTGGGAAAGTGATAAGCATTCCGTTATTTTTCATTAGACTAGAAAAAATACATGGTGTTAGTTTACCAATCCATCCCAAAAGCTTAAGCTATTAGGAGGTGAGCCAATAATAATTTTATACTTTAACACTCCCCCTCACGTGTGGGCTGAAAAATGGGTAATGGGTAAATTAATTGGAAAGCCCAACATGTGAATATTTAAGCCCAAGATATATTAAAGACCCAACACATGATGACAATTTTAAATGGGGATAAATAGTGCAATTACGGGGGTTTGAACTCAGGACCTCCCGCTCTGATACTATGTTAGTTTACCAATCAATCTCAAAAGCTTAAGCTATTAGGAGGTGGGCCAATAATAATTTTATACTTTAACACATGGCAGGGTCTTAAGGTTGGCTGTTAGTCGCTCGCTGTGAGCTTATATGGCTTGTTAGTTCTGTTATGTTTAGTCTTGTTATGATTGGTCAGTGGTAATGTGTAGGTAATATGACAGGTGACGTTAGTATAATAGTAAAAAAGGTATTAATAGGTGGTTCGGGAGAAGGAAGTTAGTGCCTTGAGACCTTTGGTGTAAACTCTTGGAAATCCAAGACTGAGAGAGAAGTGGGACTCGAAACCTTTCCACTACTGTTTTATAGGAGTTGGCCAGTACAACTCATTTTCTTGTTCAATAAAGAATATGATTCTTGAGTTCAATTGATTGTTCAGCTTTGGAAAATTACCAGAGAGAAATTTTAGTTGCTATTTCTAATCATTTTCAGGAACTTGTGGATCCAAATTTGTAAGTTTTATGTAGTAGTGTTGACTTGTGAGTTCTCACATCACAGAGTTTATTCTTTCATGATCATATGTTGGGTCTTTCAATTATACTACAGTTGTGTTGGGGATGTGTTTTGCCCCAACAAGTTGCCATGGCAAGTATGTTATAGGACCCCTATTACCGTAAACTACAAACACCAAAGTAGTGAATATGAAATCAGAATATTACAATCGTCTTTTTTGCTGGTCCTATATATATATAAATTAGAACTGCATTTTGCATTCAAGGTTTTTCTCATAAATATTCTGTTCACAATGGTAAAATTTCTCTCAGACTAGTAGTTGATATAAAAACGCAGTATAGATGGGAACTACTCTACCATATTGGACAGAATATATACATAAGTGCAAGCCTCAATTTGCACCCTCTGCATTTTATTTTTGCAAGAAAGACTTGTCTTAATACAGCTACTTGTATGAAAATCACGTCTTATCACCACCTTTAGGAAACTTGTTCAGAGCTTGTCCAAATGTTCGTTGACTAAGGTGAGTGTTTGAAGAGCTTTGTGAATAAATGAATGTACGACATCTTTGATTCTGCAACTGATAATTGGTTAAAATAATTTAAGAACAGAGATCAAGAAAAGATTGTAGGCTTAGTCACCCTTATAACCAAATGGGCATTTAAGGATACAATAAGGGCTAAGAAGGAATTCATTTTCACATAAGTTATAGTTGCCACTAAATTGAGCGTACCAATCTGTATGGTTTTCTAGGTCAGCTCATGTTTATCTTTCTTGATTCTTTATTGCTGATGATGCTCTAAGATTTCATTTTTTATTTTTCAATGATTCCGTTTCTTCTTCCTGTTCTGCACAGGACGTCATCTTGATGACACGTGGGTGGCATACATTGGTAATGATTGTCAGAGGATGTTGAAGTGGCAGAAGGTTGGCTCAGGAATTCCAAGTGGGAGATTTGGACACACATGCGTTGAAATTGGTGGTGCTCTAGTTCTATTTGGAGGAATTGATGATCATGGTAGCCGTTTAAATGATACATGGGTGGGACAATTAGCACGCCATGAGACGCTTGGTATCACATTGTCATGGAAGCCGATCGATGTGGGACCCATCACCCCACCCCACCGGGGGGCTCATGGAGCTTGCTGCATAGGCAATACAAAGATGGTTATTCACGGAGGGATTGGGCTAAATGGAATCAGATTGGGTGACACGTGGGTTTTAGAATTCTCTGAAAACTTTTGTTTTGGAATGTGGTATGAAATAGTGACACATCCATCTCCTCCAGCTCGTTCAGGACACACATTGACATGCATTGGCGAATTTCGAACTGTTCTTTTTGGAGGCAGGGGATCCGAGTATGAAGTTCTCAATGATATCTGGCTGTTGGACTATCACGAGGATCGCTTTAAGTGGGTGCAAATACTATATGAACTACAAAACATTCCTGAAGGAGTTTCCCTCCCACGGGTTGGTCACTCAGCTACTCGCATATTGGGGGGTCGTGTGCTAATTTACGGAGGGGAAGATTCATCCAGACACCGCAAAGATGACTTTTGGTTATTAGACTTGAGTGTAGTTCCATCCATTAGAGTGCAGCCAGCTAAACTGAACTCTAAGCAACTGGTGGCAAAGATGTGGAAAGGGTTGAAGGCAAAAGGTTATAAACCCAAGTGCCGATCTTTCCATCGTGCCTGTGCTGATTGCTCTGGGCAGTATTTGTACGTCTTTGGAGGAATGGTGGATGGTTTGCTTCAGCCTGCTGAGCCTTCTGGGTTAAGGTTTGATGGGGAGCTATTTCTAGTGGACCTTGTGCTTCAGATGTAAAAAGGAATAGGATTTGTGTGCTTATAATTAGATGGGTTGTATACATGCATACTATCCAATGATAATGATGCGGTCTTGTACAAAGTGTAGCTGTATCTTTTTTACAAAGTAGTTTGATTGCCTTGCTAAGGCTGAACAGCAGGTTGTTAGATAAGCTAATGAAGATGATAAAAGCAAAGTCCATTGTTGGGAGGATTTGTTTTGGTAGGGTAAGAAAGGGACCCTTATTGGTAGGTACAATTCTTAACCGTAAATTTTCATCCAATTCTGCAAAATTATCTGTAAGGCCGCAAGTGTACGGTGTTAAGTTATAAGGTGAGTGAGTATCATGGATTGAGTGTTAAATTATCGCTAAATATTGCGATTATCGTAATTCAATTTTATTTAAGCAACCAAACTAATTGAAATTATAATAGAATTAGAACAAATATAAATGTGAGAATAAAATAGGATATGGAAACCTCTATGCACAAATGTATCTGGAGTCTTGATTCTACTCACTCTTCCCTAGTTTCTCCTATTTGGTACATACTAACCAATTCCAACAAATTCAAGGATCAAGGGTCTTAATGTAACCTCATTACCTCTCTCAATGGTCAAATGAGATAATATGTATAAATATTCGAGTTAATATCTCTATCTAACCCGTCTACTTACATATTCATTAAGCTTCGCCTTAAGGTTGATTATCAAGGATCATTGATCGTCTCTTGACCTCTCAACACCCAAGATTCTTACCTAGACCATTCAAGCATTGATCTCTTCTCAGTCTCACAGCACTTTAGACAGTGTTTCCCAAGTCTGAATTATGAACCTAATCTCTCTCGAGCATCAAATCCACAATCTATAATCATCTCTTTCATTTCTCAATAAGAATATAGGCATAATGTCACGCCCTAGGGCAGGGATTGATGACGTGGAGGCTCGATTAAGACTTAAACGCGATTAAGAATAAACTATTAAGAAAATTCCCAAACGAGTCCCACTATTTTACCGAAAATAAATTACAAGAACATCTCAAGAGGCTAAAACTCCTGCCTCTAACACTGTTCAGAACTACACCCACAAGATCTTCAGTATTATACATACATGAACACGTAAATATCATTACATGAACATGAACATGCATTTTTGCACTGAAATTCTTTTTTTCAATTTTATGTTTCCTTTGGAGTGTGCTTCCTTGTATGCAGTTATTATATTGATTACGTTGCATGTAGATGATTCTGATTTCCGTTATAATTTAGGTAAGAATTATATGGAAAAATCATAACCCGTAGGTGACTATATGCACATAGAGTTGGGACAGTGAGCTTGCCTCTTAGCCGCTTGATAAAATGCGTCAGTGAATATTTAAACATTTTTTTTTCTTAAATGCTGAAATTTTAAAACTATAACGTCTGGTTATACGTTTAAACTTTTAACTAAAATCTCACTATAAAAATTTTTTCTAAATTGGAAAAACTGACTTTTCACTCTAAATTTGGAGTGTAAATTGTTAATTTGATCGGTTTAAAACTTAATTTCTTTTTTTTTTTGAATACTCTTTTATCAAATTTGTGTGATTTCAAGTGTTAGAAGAATAGCTTCACGGGTACGATATTTGAATTCATGACTCAAATATTTTGGAGATAAGGAAAGAATTATTACATGATTACAAATCGTTTAGGAAAATACATAAACTAAACGTCATGCATGATTAAAAAAAGTTAGCGTCTCAAATTTCCAATCTTTACAATTACTTAGTTGATACTCAGACGTCATCCATGAGAGATTTTTTTTTTTTAATTAGAGTCACTATAATAGCTAACAGACTATAATGTTTTCCGCATAGTGCGTCTAGCGTGTATTGGATGATTATTCGGAGTCTCATTTATCTTTTATTATTTGTTTAGGAATCATGAAGTTACAGGTTTTGTGGTGCTGAAGGAAAACAAGAAGATGCAGGGTATTACGCTCCTCTGCTTCTCCTTCCTATTATTTCTTTAAATTTACATGCTATCTATAAATTCTTTTAATTTGGGTGCGTAGTAATAATAAGAATGTAATTAATTCTTTATGTCGCGCACAGGAATATTTGATTGTGCTATAAGTATAAATCTTAATTGATCCTCAAGATGATTAGAGAGTGCTATTATATGATGGTTATTACCTGAGAAGATTTAGTGGTCTGATATTAGCCCATACAATTTTATGGTCTGGCCGGCTCATATAAAAATTATCTCGGCCCAGTCCACATCACGGGTCAATTTTACATGGGTCAGGTTAGGCCGTGTCATGGACCTTGAATGGGTTGGCATATTCAATGTCTATCTTGGTCCATCATGAGTTTAGATGTGTCAGTCCATCTAAGTATGTAATTTTCAATGTTTTTTCTTTTTATTTTTTATTTTTAAATTTTTAAATAAGTTAACAAATATAAAAGTTTGAATAGTCAATGAAAATATGAAAATGAATATTTTATTTACGATTATCTCATTAAATAAAAATATTTCTAAAGAAAACCCAGTGGGACAATAAAACTTTGGTAAGGAAAAAAGAGTACAATTAGGATAATTATACATAAAATGTTTACAAAATTACTAAAAAAAGAAAAAAAAACATAAATATATTATGGGCTTAGATGGGCCGGGCTGGCCCATCATGTAGACGGGCCGGCCCACGCCCGGCCTGACCCATGATTGTTCATGGGGCCGTGTCGGGTTGGCCCATGGGCTGATATATATGTTGTCCAAGCCCAACCCACTAATATTATGGGCTGAGCCATGCCTTGAACAATGACGAGTCTTAAACAGTGACGGGCCGTGTCGATCCAGCCCGTTACTGTGTCAAGATGGGCCTGGGTCAGCCCATGAGTCCCGGCCCATTGTTGCATCTCTATCTTTGATTTAATTTAGATATTTGTACTATATTCTAATCCAAAGGATGTTACGAGCTATTGGAAAGCTCAAACAACACGAAATTCTTTGTATCTTAAGTGATATGATGAACGTAAAGGGCGTACAAATTTTGTTTGTTTAGAAATCAGTTTCGGCATGTTTGTTTGACTGTATTGGAGCATTATATTGAATAATAATGTAATAATACAATGTTTAGTGTGATCATCGTATTGTATATATTATATGGATGATAAATTAATACGGTGTATGTCGTATTATTGAATACGGTTCATTTTTAGCGTATTGTATTTTATTATTTTATAGATAATCGATGATTCATATCGGGTTTGGGCACAACTAGGAGTCGGGATTAGGCCAAAATAGGGGCATGTCGGATCCTATAATTGGTGAAAATTTGAGGTGACACAATGCAAATTTATATTTTTAAAAATTACATTTCAACCCAAAATTTTTGCAATATTACATTTTGACCCCAAAACTTTTGTAAAATTAGACTTTGACTCCAAAATTTTTTAAAAATTTCATTGACCCCAAAACTTTGAAATTTATATTTTGACCTTTTAAAAAATTACATTTTGACCCCTTACACAATACATCATGACACTAAACAGCGTACAGCGTATTGTATTATGATAACACAACACAACATAATGCGATATAATACATCTTATACAATACAAGAGAATACAAGCTATTAAATATGGCGTGCGTGTTTGACTTGCTGTAACTGTAATGTTCTTTTTTTATTTTTTATTTTTTATTTTTTTGAGGGAGGCTGTAATGTTCTTTTAAGTTACACCTTCCTTTGAAAAATGAAAAATCTACTAATTTCAAGTTACATCTTCTGTTGTGTTTGGACTTGTTTTAGACTTTTAGTCATCGACGCTTGTGATTTTGATCCCGATGTTGAGTTGTGACTAGCTTCATTAACATATATCGAAGGCATGAAATTGTTTAGCCATTCCTCATCATAATGACATAAAGAGGTTTCTTTATTTGCAAAATGACTACCCAAAAGTTTTAATTGGCAAAATGACTTAAAACATAAAATCCTTTGTAATAATAATATAAAAAAAAAGACAATATCTGGAAAAAAAAAAAAAAAAAAAAAAAAAACACAAAACACGTTGAGAGAGGAGTAGGAACCTCTCTTCGAACGGAAACCTAAGAACAGCAAAGGGCTTTTCTCGAATTCCTTAACTCCTTTCTTCAATGGAGTCCGTTTCGCCAAGTTTTTCCGGCAACCACACCACCACTCAAAGATCAAGATCCCAAAAACCTGAACAATTGCTTTTAAGAGGAACTTCTTGCCTAGAGTTTTGGAGGTTAGCAATCACTTAAAATTTCTTTAACAAACTACGTTTTAGAGATTTATTTGGAATTGTATGGGTATATACTAACCACAATAGTAATATAAAATTGACTTAATCTCAGCCCTCCATTTAAATTAATGGCTGATATTAAGTGGGACAATTAATTTTTATTAATATTTTTTACAATAAAGATTTATATTTTAACATATTTTGGAGCACAGAAACATGCAAGATCATATCATAACGGGATATCCTGGTTATGTTCTTCCCAAATTAGCTGTTGTTCATCACTATTTAGTGCTGCATTGCCACACCTATGGCAATACAATACATGTGTTGTTTGATAAAAAAAAATTAACGTACATCAAATAAACAAATAAATAAAAAGGCCAGAGAGGAGTGGATGATGCCAGCTATTCAAAGTAGGCAGATTTTGAAAAACAAAAAATACATAATCAACCATTCGAAACGCGTAGAGTATAAATACATTGGATTGGAACATATAACTAAACTAAAGAGCAAAAACAGCTTGGCTAATCACATTTAAACATTTTAATCTTAGGAGTCAAATATAAATAAATATATTCATCAGCAGAAACATTCTTTGTTTTTTCTTTTCTTTTTGTGCCCTAACTGACCAGGTTTGCATCTGTACAAAAGCTCTCCTTGGAAAAGTATCCTCTTCTGTTCTCAACACATACTGATGGTTCCGCTTCTTTTTTATCCTTTCCTTCCTTCTACAACATTATTATTATTATCGTCATTATTATTATATTTACAAAGTCTTCATAAGCCTGCACATTTTTCCCATGCGACCAAAGCCATCGTTAGCGAAATGAATTTGTTTTGCAAAACGCAATCGAGCAATTATCAATTCTTAAAAAGATTTCTAATCATCACCAGATGACAAAAATCAACGTGGTGGTCAATTATGCAAAAGAAATTAGAAATACTGTTTTTGGTTGGGGTGGGTGGTGTAAAAGGGCGACAAGCAGGCTCCAATGCAAAACCAACTTTCTTTAGCTTCTTAACTAGTCCACACGACAGCATATTCTGCATTACTATTCCTGAAATATTTCATCATACATGTACAAGTACAACTTTATACAGAATCCCAACCTGGCTTGCTTCATTCATCACTTCCCTTTTAATCCTTAAGACAAGAAGGAAGAATCGTTTGGAACTGTTTTTTAGTTATTTTTTTCACACGTCTTTTGAGACACGAAAATGAAAACGGTCTGCAAACTGCGTTTGTTTAGCATATATATGGTTTGAAAACGAAAACAAAAAAATAATGAAAATGGTTTTTGTGAAGGAAGTTAGAAAACGATTAAAAGTTGTTTTTCCTTTTTCGTTTTCATTTTCTAGTACTTACCAACAATGTTATATTAAATTATTTAATTATTAATTACTAAATATATAATATATTAATTAATAATTAATAAATAGATATGACTATAACTAATAAATAATTAGTAATTACTTAATTATTAATTATTATTATTATATTTGTAATTTTATTAATAAAAATGATAAATATTAAATATTAATTAATTATTTAGTTAAAGATTAATTGCCAAAAATTGATTATATAATATATTAATAATAGAATAATTAACAAAAAGGTTATTCAATAAATAACTAATAATTAATATATCATATATATTAATTATAACCTATTAATTAGCAAATAGTTGATAAATACAAAAATAGTAATTACTCAATTAATAATCAACATTAAATTACATAATAAATTGTAATATACTAATCAATTGTAATTAATAATTAATAATTAGCAATTCATCATTATTTAAAGAATAATTATCAAAAATTGATCACACAATATATCAAATAATAGATTATTAAATAAATACTAATAATTAATTAACTAATTATTTAATTATAAATAGTAAATAGAATATTAATATATTATTTATATACTAATTATTTTTTTAATATACTTGTTAATTACTTAAAAACTAATAAATATGATTACGTTACTAACATAGTAATTACTTAGAACTGATTATTAATTACTATTTTTTAATTATTTAGCATGCTAATTCATTATATATATATATAATTTAATTACCAATGTACTCATTAATTATATTATATCCATTACTATTGTATTATTAATATATTAATTTTATTTGCTAAGTGATTATCAATTATTAATTACTTAATATAATAATTTAACATTATTAATTACATGTACTCGAAACAAAATTTCATAAATATTACCAAACACGATTTTACTTTTTTACTATACTTAAAAAATCTCTTAAAAGACCAACCAAATGCAATTTCAGAATCAGTTCCAAAATGATCTTCAAAACAATCTCATTTTCACTTTTGTATTGAAAGCAAGATCATTTTGAAAATATTACCGAACGAGCCCGTAGCATTTCATAAAACTAAACAGCAGAGGCCAACACAAGTTTATCAAATTTAAGTTTACAATTTGCAAGTCGAGGCATGGGATTACATCAACCTTACATATCTTTCAAGCGATTATATCCTAATATTATTGAACTAGACTCAATTACATCATTACTTACAACTTTATTTATAAGCAACTAATCTTGTATGATATAACATAATACACAGTTCCATCCTGGCAAAAGTTTAACCATAGTAAGCAAGAAAACTCACCCGAGGGGCCAATTTTCTTTCGGAAAGAAACGATTCATTTATCCTTCCTCATCCTCCAACTGGAGCAACTTATTAGATTTAGAACTTTCCTCTGCAGACTCTATCTGATGAGGTGATACACCTGCAACACAACAAAGAGGAAAATCCAAGGCATGAGCTGCACCATTTTAAGATCAAATGACAAGGAACATTGCCATACAAACACTAACACCCTTGTGATTCATAGCTTAAATTGCATACAAATACATCCAAAACTTGAACAAAATTCAAGGTCTTACTGCCGATATTGAGCCATGTAATGCAATGACCGATACGCTTATCTTATGAGCTAGGAAACTAACTTTCCAAAATATTCTGAGGTTTTCCCTTCACTAATTCTGACCAAACAGAATAAAAGCAGCAAATAATTCATTAAGCCAACCCCAAAAAAAAAAAAAAATTATATATATTTATATATGAAGGCAGCCGAGTTCATTGCGGAGTGATTGAGGCAAAATCGATAATGCTCATGGATGGTAATTCAATTCACAATACATCACTACAAACCAATTTTTATGGTTCGAACAATAAATACTCTGCAGAATTTAGATATAAAAGCAAGCTACTATTGAAAAGTCAAATAACTATCGAGATTTTGATGCACTGCACTGCTAATTAAACAAAGATAGATCTTTAAATAAACTCATAGCGGCAAATCCGTTAAAAATTGAAACTTTGACATCCAAGGAAACTGTAATCATAAACATAAATTTCTTTTTTCCAATTGGGAGATACAAACAATAACTAGGGTTGTGGCAAATCCGATCAAAACTAAAATTGAGATAATAAAAAAAAAAGGAGGCACAAGGGGAAATTACCATGAATGAAGTAGTCGGAAGAGGGCCAACCGCGAACGGTGGTGGTGGACATGGACTCCTCCTGAGTCAAGGGATTGGCGAGCTTCTCGACGAGGTGGTTGAGGCCGTAATTGCGGGATCGCGGGGGTGGGACCCAGTAAGAGGCACCGGGAAGAAAGGGGAGCCAATCGGGGGCGGATCGGCGGACGATGATGCGGTGGATGGCGTCCTCCAGCTTCCGAAGGAGAGGATCGGACGATGAAGATGAGGCGTCGGATAGGTCGGCCAGATCGCCGCCGCCGCCGTGGGAGGATGGGAGGTTTGATTGGGTGCGGAGGGAGAGGAGGAGAGACGACGACGACGGCTGCGGGAACTTGGGGGAGAGATGATGCCGACTTAGGGTTAGGGTTTGAGAGAGAGATCTTGCCATTTACAAAGTAGAGAGAGAGAGAGAGAGAGAGAGAGAGAGAAATTCTGGAGAGAGTTTGGGTTATGGATAAGAAGATGAGGGGTAAGAAAGGGGAAAAAAAATGGTCTTGCGCTTTTTATAGAAAAGGTTGGTCTTTTCTCCATTATAAGGTTATTACTATAGTGTTTTTTTTTAATATAAAAATTTAAATTTAATTTTTTTTTACATATGTAAATTATAATTTAAGTTATAAATTTTTTTTAAAAAAAATTTTAAATATCTTTAATCATTAATCTTTAATTGATAATAAATATATATTACAAATAAGCTCATTATATTTCTATTCACGGTGTTGTTTTTAAAGGAAATTTTTCTAATTAAATAAACTCATCATCAATATTAAAAACATAATTAACAAAATATAAACTTTACTTTTCAAAAATAATTCTTAACAAATAGTAAAACAGATAATATAATAATTAAATAAAAAATTATCATTTATTTTTTTAACTCTTATTCCTACTAAACAACATAAAAAAATTATTACAATCTTCTTCATTCTTCACGTTCTCCATCCTTTCAACCCTCTCAATCTCTCCTACCAAATGGGGCCTTATTTGGTAATAGGGAGGGAGACCAGAGAGAGAAGGTGAATCTCTTAGGGGGGCATTTGGTATATAGATTCAGAATCACGATTCTAGATCTTGATTCAAAATTAGTGTTTATTTACAGTAATTCTGAATCATGATTCAAAATTAGTGTTTGGTTTTGATGATTCTGAATCATAATATGGAATCTGATGTGATGTTTTAAATCAGAATCACTCGTGATTCTAAAATTACCCCCTCTTGATTGAAGGTGATTTAAACCCGTGATTCTGAATCATGGTTTCAGAATCATGATTTGAACCCAAAATTACGAACCATGAATCTGTTTCAGAATCATGATTAGAATCACTCTAGTTTGAATCTTCGTACTAAACGAACTCTTATTTATTTGGTAAGAAAGAGAAGATGAAGGAGAAGAAATATGAAATAAGAGACTCTCCTTTTGGACCCACAACTAATTTACTTAAAATTAAAACAAAATGACTTTTGACCCTTTAAAAATAATTATTAACAAATAGTAAAATGAATAATATAGTACTTAAATAAAAAATATTATATATCATTTGAACTCTCACTCTCTCCTATCAAACAACATAAAGTATTATTACAATTCTTTTCATCCTTCACATTCTTAATTCCTCCAACCATCTCCATCCTTACTCTTCTCCATCCCTCCTATCAAAAGAAGCCATAGTTGCAAAATTTTATTAGAACTCGAACCTATCGTCTTAGCAAAATTAAAATGCAAAAAAAAAAAAAGATAAAAACGTAAAAAAAAAGTAAAAAAGATGTAAGTGGAGGATCTGTCACGTAGAAAAGATCTTTGGCTCTTTTATGTATTGTTAAATTTCTTGTGATAGGAGAAAGTTTCCATTTCATGAAAAAATGGGCTTAGGTAGGGATGATATTATTGGAGCCCGTTTAAAAGGTATATTCAAATCACGATTTTTAATTCTAACATTTAAAATTTAAATTTTTTGTGATAAAAAAATACCGTAACAAAATTAATAATTTGAATTTAAATATATGAAATAGACGAATCCTTACTTTTAGATACTATATTTGTGAGTGCTCACCCTAACAGGACGGGTAAGGGAGAAGCTCTAATTACAGAAATTCTTAAACATAAGTTCATATTATGGAGAACCGAAATCCACTCTCCAATGAGAAGATAACTCCCTAACTGACATACATTCAGCTGCAAAGGCACCATGGTGACGACCAAGCAGAATCAGAATTCCACATTAAAATGCTTCAACATCAGAATCTGGAGGAGCCTTCCAATTGGGCTCACCTGTGTGGCTGATCTCCTTGGATACAAAGCTTCTGATAGCCTTGAAAATCTTTTTGTTACTGACTTATAGCCATTGTTGTTGATTTTTCAAGTTCAATATTCTTTGTAATTGTTGCGCAAAAAGATAATGTTGGAAAAAAAAAAAAAGAATTGACTCCATACAAAAAGAATCTAACTCTAGCAAAATTTAGGCTATTTGTTTTTTGTTTTGTTTTTTTTGTTTTTTGTTTTTTTTTTGGTGCTAATCAGGCTATTTGGTGTCTTTAACGCGATGATTAAGGTTATTTTTTTATAAGGGAAATGATTACGGTTATTCATAACCTCATATATATATGAAAAAAATTTCCTAATTCACATGATATTAAAATTGATTTGTTAGTGGGGGAAATGACAATACTTAGATATTGACCGACTCTTTACGCTAAAACTTAATCATTATACCCATACCTTTAACTAAAAAGAGATTTTAAAATGAAATGTCAAACCCACCAAAAGGTTAAAAAAAATGTTTCTTTAATTATTTTTATGCATTGCATATTAAGGTTACAAATAATTATACATTATATTTTAAATTGTATCACATTGATACCTTCATATTTAGATTAAATTCTCAATTTTTACCTTTTCTAGTTAAATAGTCAATTTTGATAATGAAAAGTTCTAAAATGTCCTTAAAGAAACTAAGAATAAAAATAATAAAAAATAAATAGAAACTTAGACTTCATTTGTTTTGCTAATTTGAGTTGTCAATTTGAGTTGAAAAAATGAATTTATATAAGAGAAACAATGTAGTAAAAAAGTTGAATTCAAACTTTTATGAGAAAACACTATAATAAAAACTTAAGTTGTAATTTGAAAAAACAATCTATCATCAAAAAATGTTATAGATTTAACATGAAATGCAAAAATATATATTTGACACATATCAAAATATAACGTATGTTTTTTTAGTTAACTCTTTAAATTTTAAGAATAAAATTGGAAAAAAAAACCCTAAAGAAGGGAGAAGAGATGATGTTATTTTTTAAAAGTAAAATTTCATTTCACAAAAATAAGTTACAAATACATATTAAGTTGAAAATGACCATTAATTACAAAAGAAAATTCAACCCTAACTATTAACCGAATCTAAAAAAATGGAGTACATAAAAATTGAAAAAAAAAAAAAAAAAAGTTCCCCCAGTTTGGTGGGTTTCGCAGATCAGACAACCCACCAGTTGTTGCGGCTATTTGGAGAGAGCGAGAGAGAGAGGAGAGAGAGACTTTTTAAGAGAGGAGAACGAGAAGAAAAAGAGAAGAAAGGGAAAGGAAAGCAAAATATTTACATTTACTGTGAGTGAGGAGAGAGAAACAAGAGAGAGAGAGCTATGGAGAAGAAGAGAACAGAAGTGAAGATGGGATCTGATGAAGAGAGTTTGTTTTTTTTGATTTGATGACTGCCCTTTTCACTCCACCAACTTCTTCTTCTTCTTCTTCTTCTTCTTCTTCTTCTTCTTCCTCTTCCTCTTCTCGGGTAAGTATTGCGACGATGAACTCTCTCTCTATCTTTTTTTATTCCCATTTTGCCCTCCCTTGTTTCGTCATTTGACTCGACTTTTTTGAAATCTCTGCGCATTTGTTCTAGATCTTCAGCATTCTCTTCTTTTTCTTCACAATCATAATCTGGGTACGCCTTGTCTCTCTCTGATTTATTAACATTTCTATAAATGGATGACTTGTATTCTTGTTACTAGTATTATTTTCTGTTTGGTTTATATGAGAATAAATAAATAAATAAGATTTGTTTTTGGTTATTGGGATTCTCATTGTTTGTGCCTTTTTCGACTGAAAATGGGTTGTGGTTAATAAACTCTTGTTTGGATCTAGGGAAAATGCTTTTGAGAGGTAAATAAATAAGCCTTTTTTAAGTAGATAGACAACATCTGCATTTTTTTTTCTTCTTAGATCCAAAAGGCATATTTCCTATTGATTCAGATCTTATTATTCTTCATCTAAATTTGTGTTCTTGAAATGGCAGATGTCTCAATTGGAATCTTACTAAAAGAAGAAAAACCTTATTTCTTTATTATTTTGTTGCTGGAACAAACAGGAAATTGAAAGAAATAATTAGAAAAAAAAAGGTCTTTTACTTGTAGTGAAATGAATTATGGTTCCCTGCAAGGTAGCTTTTCTTTCTTCATCTTTCCTGTGGTGGTTCCAAAATTATCATAATTATCTTTTATCCTTTCACTTGGGATTCGATTTTTTGTCAGTGACTGCTCAAAATACGTTATTTTTGTTGTTTATGAAGTTTTGGTAGACCAATGTCCTAAATCTTTATTGAAATTCTTAAAAATTATAAGTTTGGCTTCATGTCATCTCTTGACGAAATGGAGCAAACGAAACAAAAAACAAAAAACAAAAACAAAAACAAAAACAAAAGAAAAGATTTATTAGGTAGGTAGGCTTTTGTTTTTATGTTTTAGGGTGTATGCACTGCATAGTAAGAGCTTGAAATTCTTACAAGAATTGAGAATGCAAAAACGTTTTTGCTTTATAATTTTCACAAGGTCTTTTCATAGTGTTTTATTACTTTGTTACGATTTGTTTGTTGAACTGTTTTGCACATTTTGATTCTGATTGTTGTACTATTTTGAGCTTTGTTCAGTCTTTTGATGCCATCCGTTGAATCTTCGGCATTCTTTCTTATTTGATTTGTTCTAATAACTTCTTAATGGATTTTTCTGTACCACAGTAGGACGTTGAGGATCATTAGAGCAGTCGTATTTGTGTGGTTTGTTCTCCTTAAAGAAGCAGTGATGGGTTCCAGATTCCCATCTCATCAGCTCAGCAACGGCCTCTATGTCTCAGGCCGGCCTGAGCAGCCAAAAGAAAGAACTCCGACTATGAGCTCAGTAGCCATGCCTTATACGGGAGGCGATATCAAAAGGTCAGGAGAGTTGGGGAAAATGTTTGATATCCCTATGGATGGTTCCAAGTCCAGGAAATCTGGGCCCATAAACGGTGCTCCTTCAAGGACTGGATCTTTCGGAGGTGCTGCTTCCCACTCAGGACCCATTATGCCGAATGCTGGAGCTCGCGGTGCTTATACTACATCAGGTCCTGTAACGTCTGGGTCTGGTTCAGCTGCAGTAAAGAAGACGAATTCTGGACCATTGAATAAACATGGGGAACCTATAAAGAAGTCGTCTGGTCCTCAATCGGGAGGCGTGACTCGCCAAAACTCTGGTCCTATTCCTCCAGTTCTTCCCACAACAGGTCTTATTACATCTGGCCCAATTTCTTCGGGTCCACTTAATTCATCTGGGGCACCAAGAAAGGTATCGGGTCCTTTGGAATCTATGGGGTCAATGAAAGTACAAGGTTCTTCAGTCGTTAACAATCAAGCTGTCACTACCTTGAGCCAAGATGATGAATATTCATTCAGGAGGAACTTTCCAAAGCCAATTCTGTGGTCTGTGATTTTATTGTTCGTGATGGGCTTCATAGCTGGTGGTTTCATTCTTGGAGCTGTTCGCAATGCCATTCTCCTCATTGTTGTGGTAGTTCTTTTCGCAGCGGTTGTGGCACTGTTCACTTGGAATACCTGTTGGGGCAGAAAAGCAGTTGTTAATTTCATTTCTCGATATCCTGATGCGGAGCTTAGAACTGCGAAAAATGGACAACTTGTGAAAGTTTCCGGGGTATGTTTCTTAGCAGATGCTGGTATTATATCTTTTAATGTTCTTGCATGCTATTACTAAATTGTCTCCCATTTCATAGTGTTGCTCATTAGCTCGTTTCCATTTTCATTTTCAGATGTTACCTTGGATTTACTATATATTACATAAAGTACTGCTTGTCATTTGTCAATATTTCTCTTAAATTTGAATTTATTTCTTAAAGAAGGCAGGTATTTTCTGCATATAGATACAATCTTACAGAGAATTAGTATGCTAATCATATTAACACCTGAGTATATAAGTGAGAGAGAGAGAGAGTCACGTATGTTTAGTCTTATGTTTTAGCTTTTGCTAACATATGTTTTTCATGACAGATATTATCATATAATAATACCTGACTTGTAGCTTCCGATAGCTCGTGATGAAATAATAATCATAATTTGGTTCTCCATTACTTTTTTTTGCAAAAGCACATGACATGTTGCAAGGTTTTGATGCTATAATTTCTTAATCCTTGAAGGTGGTTACTTGTGGTAATGTGCCCCTTGAGTCATCCTTCCGAAAAGTTCCTAGATGCGTCTACACATCAACGAGTTTGTATGAGTACCGAGGATGGGATTCAAAACCAGCTAACTCCACACATCGTCGTTTTACGTGGGGTCTTAGATCCTTGGAGGTATGTACCTGATGTCACATTTTTTCTTCTTTCTGTTTCTTTTCACTTTTTGAATTCCCAATATACGCCATGTTGTCGAGCATATACTTATTGTATTGTATTCTAGCCATGGTTCAATAGCTTTGGATTACAATAGGAGATGGGTGGTCTCTTAAATTCATGCTTAATCAATCGGTTAATTCTTCATTCATATAGATTATAATCAACTGTTAATTATATTTTTTCTTTTTAGATGGACTCGATCAAATGTTGAGACTAGATTTTTCTGATATTGATTGGTCCTGTTTTTTTTTTGTTAATTTCATTGATAAATATTATAGCTTAAGGCTGTAGATTTTATATGTTGAACTGAAAGCTTTCATGCGGTTCTTGTCAGAGGCATGTGGTGGATTTCTACATCTCCGATTTCCAGTCTGGCTTGAGAGCATTGGTTAAGACTGGTTATGGAGCGAGAGTGACCCCTTATGTTGACGACTCCTTTGTCATTGATGTAAATCCGGGGAATGAAGACTTGTCTCCAGGGTTTGTCAGGTGGTTGGCCGAGCGGAATCTTCAAAGTGACGACCGTACAATGCGATTGAAAGAAGGGTAAAAAACAAAAAAAAAAGGCTATGAGTCCAATGGAGTTTCTCTATAACAGTCACAATAAAACATCAAGCGTATGAATATCCGAAGTCCAAAGTATATTAGATGTTTGTATTGGCATATCATCCTTTTAAGCGACAAAGTGATGTTTTTGTAGGTACATCAAGGAAGGCAGCACGGTCAGCGTTATGGGAGTTGTACAGAGAAACGACAATGTGCTTATGATTGTCCCGCCATCAGAGCCGTTGACAACAGGGTGCCAGTGGGCCCAATGTATCTTTCCCGCTAGCCTTGAGGGCATTGTTTTGAGGTGTGAAGATGCGTCCAAAAATGATGTGATACCCGTTTAAGTTTGAATGTGCTCCGATAACTTTTCGGGCACTGATCTCTTGAGGAATATTTTGGGTTACAGTCATATCAATCATGGTGGCGGCGGCAGCATTGGCTTTCGTAGTTGGAAATGGAAATGGGAATGGAAATGGAGTGTGATGTTTTTCATGGTGATATCCTTTTTCTTTTTCTTTTGGTGTATAGTTTTTAGGAATTCGATTCTATTATCTTCTTCTCTTTTTTTTTTTTTTTTTTTTTTTTTTTTTTTTTTTAATTTTTAAGTTCCTTCTAGGTTTGAAAGCTTTTGCAATGGGTGTGGCTTGATGTAGTGAGGGATTTTACATGTTTTGAAATATTGAGCAGACAGCAGTGCGCGCTATAAAGAAAAGTGTCACATAATTAATTATTTCATTAGTTTGTTTCCAGGCCTTGCAACTTACTACTGTACATTTATAGTATTTTTATTTTGGTTTTACTCAATTGATTTCTTTGTATTATTCATGTCTAAATTAGATTTCCTATAATCCATTAACTCTCTCTGTCTGATCTATCTCTCAACTCTCTTCCTCAGTTGTTTTGATTTTTCTCCTTCATTAACAAGACCACGACAACACATTATTGATTGGTTTGAAATTCAACGTTAACTTTTGATTGTTCAAGTGAAACTGAATTCAATTGGTGGGATCCTGTTATTATCCAAAACGAAAATATGTTGTAGTCGTTTACAAAGTGCATATTGCTGAGAGGAACCCTAATTCTCACAGCAAAATCTTAAGAAAGAATCAATCTTTGCAAAGTTTTAGGCTTTTAGCTATATATATATATATATATATATATAAACACACAGAAGCAGAACATGCAAACCTACGGGGAAATCGACCACAACCACGAGGGTCTTAAAAGAGTAGGTAATATAAATGGCACGTAAGTGAATCCCACTAAATGACCCTGTCGAGCATCGAGACAAATGATGACTGTAAGGGAACTCGTAAGCATTTTTGTTCCACAAAAAAAAAAAAAAAAAAAAAAAAGGCCTAACAAACCGTGCGACTGTTAGGAGGTCTATCAGTTGCTTCTAACACATCATGTGCTTCCTGTGATTCTTTTCAATAATAGTTGGTAATAAAAGACAATTGCATTCATTAAAAATCAGACAAACCACAAAACTTGAGGACTGAGATGTACTTGTATTCCAAGATATGATTAACATGTCAATTAACACAACAGTTTGTTACCATAATCGTGAAATTCAGACCTTATAAGAAAGTGAAAATGTGTATGCCTCAAACTTTAAGCAACCCCAAAACAGAACATATTAATTTTAATTTTATTTTTATTTTTATTTTTTGTATGGTTGGCATTTTGGTGCGTCTCACACACCAAAAATAATAATAAAAAAGTAAAACACATCCTTTTAATTGAATAAATTGATTAAAAAAAAAACTCGAAGCGGTGATACATCATTAGTCCATAGCCGAAATCAAGTAATTTTAGTTTTGTTGAATTGTAGGGGGTAGGGTAGGGTAGGGTAGGGTAAAGTGACTGAGTAGGTAACGGTTAAAATATAGAGAAAATTACATAATTTATTTTTAAAAGTATGTGAGTCAGAATTTATATCTCTTAATTTTAATTAATATTTTTTATTAGTATAATTATTTAATTAAAAAAATTATTAATCAATAATAAAAAATAAAAATCTTCACCCATATCCTTTTAGTTGTATTTATCTCCATTCTCCAAGTGTAAAACAGCTATTTCTATGGGTATGGTAAGAAGGAATTATCAAATAATGGTAATAGTGCTTTTCAGAGCTGTTATCTTATTGCACATCAAATAATTGACACCTAAACCACTTCTTAAGACAAAATCCTTTCTAATTAATTAGCAAAACAAATATAATAAAGTAAAAAATAAAACCTTCTTCCATTGGGCAAACATGAACTAACGAACCAAACCCCACACCCAAGTCTTAACCCACTTTTATTGTTTGGACTTGATAATTTCTATGTTTTAATAGAGCATTAACATGTACCTGCAAGTTTATGGAACCATAAATATAAATAATCTCACTCAGTTAAACCAAATGTTAACAAAAATTGATTAAAGCAGTACCATCATCGTTATGTTCGACAAAGAAATACGTTGACTGTACCACATATTAGATATCTAATCAAATCATACAAAATGTTTGAAACAAAACTGATATTAATACACTATTTGACATGTTTGGTCATTGGACGTTGATGTCTCGGATGAAATTATAATATATATTTCAACCAAAAATAAAGGAAAAAGTTAACTATAGTTGAAGAATAAAGTAATACTAAAAAAATAAAATGACTAGTAATGGTTGGAGTGGAGAAAAATTAAAGAAAAAAAAGCCAACAATATGAAATAGTTGGTTTTTTTTTTTATGAATATCCTCCTAACTTTACGAGTTTGACAAATTAGTTTATTAAATTTTTTTTTCGACAATTCACTTTTTAAATTTTAAAATATGTTGCATTGTTAGTTACATTGAAAATGAAGTTAAAAATTTAAATGGTATCTTCCCCATGAGTGTTTAAAAATTTTGTCAGTAACTCTAGTCTTTTTGCATCAAATTGAACCCTTAAATCTTAGTAATCTTCTCCAATCTTTGGTTTTCAATAGAAACACTCAATTCCTAAATCTCTATCCTAAATTAGGGAGTTTTTCTAGTAGTCTATGTAAAAATGGTCTATTGATAGTTTTTTTTTTTTTTTTTTTTTTTTTTTTTTAAAAATGGTTTTTTTTTTTTTTTTTTTTTTTTTTTTTTTTTTTTTTTTTTTTTTCAGCAGTTAAATTGTATCAGAATTTGTCTATTCTGCATATTTTTTCAATCTGATGTGATTGAGGTATTATAATTATTAAAATTTGGTTTCCAAAGCTTTTTTCTTCCATAAATCAATCTTTAAATTTATTTTTTTTGGTATTTTGATATCTATATTTAAAAATTATTGTGGTCTATTTTTTTTTTTTTTAAGATTTACAATTATGAGAGAAGACATATTTTTAAATATGACATGAGAATCATGTCATATTAAAATAACATGGTAATTTGAAAAACAAGATTAAAACTAAACAGTTCTAAATTATGCTCTAGTAATAAGTTTTTTTTTTTTCTTTCATATACTATAGAATTTTCGTTTAGAATTTAATTAATTGTCTTAAAAAACAATAATTAAAGTAATATCATAAAATTAAAGGAATAATAAGGTAGAGTTCTTCCTCAAATTTATACTTTTTGATTCTTTCTCAATTAACCTTTTGAATAATGTATACATAATTAGAACGAGCATGAATTGAACTGAGTAAGATTTATAATAAAAAATTAGAGTTAGAATAAATTGTTTATTAAGGAGCAGGTGAAGGACAGAAAGACATGTTTACTTATGCGCAATTAAAACGACATGAATCAGAATAAGTAAGATTTAGAGTAAGAAATCAAAATCAGAATAAATTATTTACTTAATGATAGAATTTGAAATTAAAATTACTCTAATTTTATTCATGTATTTACTTACACCAATTAGAATGAACTTGTATAAAAGTATTAATATATCATTTAATAAATTTTGTATTTTTAATTAAAAAGATAAATTGTGTACTTTAACATCGTTAATAAATTTGAGTTTTCAATTTTAAATTTTTACAGTAAAATTTTTTAAAAAAATATCATATTTAACTTTTTTTACTGCAGTAAAAAATTTTAAAAAAATATCACATTTTAACTTAAATTAAAAATTTGAATCTATAAGGTGAACGAAATTAGAGTCCGTTTAGTTCATTGATTCGAGTTTTTAATTCGAGTTGAGATGTGACTTTATGTGAGAACTTTTACTGTAACAAAAAAGTTAGATGTGATTGTTTATGAGAGCTTTTTACTGTAAAAAAACTCGAATTCTAAATTCAAATCAACGAAATGAAGGGGTTTTTAGTATATTAAAATCTGGGTTTGAGGAAACTCCACCACGCACCATGGCCCATGCTCGCCGCCCCCGTTCATCCCCTAGCTCCCCCATCCTCGCCGTCCGACCCAGCTACGGAACCTGTCGCGGAACTCATCGACGCAACTCCGCCCACTCCCATTTGCCAGGGCCAAATCTCTCTCTCTCTCTCTGCCCTTCGAACTTTTTGCTTTTATTTCAAGTTTGATTTCATCTGGCAAATCACTCGGCACTTGCTTATCAAATCCTAATTCTCTGTTTTTCCTTTCAATTCCCTTTCTATTTCTTCAATTGCAGAAGCACTCTCACACTCGTTATTCTTTTAATATTTGGTTAAACTACTGAGAAAAAGGGGAGTTGGCAAAGGCCAACAATTTTCTAGTTTAATGATTTTTTTTAATGACTTTCCACGTGAGATCTGGGAAACGAATTTTCTAGTTTTTTTTTTTTTTTTTTTAAAATGAAAACAGAGAATTTTCTAGTTAGGGTGCGGGTATAGTTTAAATTTTATTTAATTTATTAGAAGGGTAGTTTAGATATTTTCTATCTCAAAAAAGATATTTAAATATTTAAAAGATATTTTTTAAATTTTAAAAATACTTATTTAATATTATTAAAAATATTAAATATTAAATATAAAATATAAAATTGATTTTATTCTTTTAATATTTCAAGGAGTACTTAATTTATTTTTCAAAGAAAAAAAAGGAAAGAATGTGGTGTATTAAATAAGGGTAGAAAATTAAACTATTTGATAATTTTTTTATTTCTTAGATATATATTAAAACGATTTGTTATTGTTATGTATATTGTTTTTAAACAGGGTGATTTTGATTGCAGAGGGTAAAAAAGTAAAGAAAATTGAACCCGTATATTTTTGCTCTGAAAATTGAACCCGTATATCGTAGCAAGTTTCGGGCTTGTTCTTTTGGAGTTTAACTTGAGTATAATTCTTGAATTGAATTTGAGTTATAACTTGAGTTAAACTTGTAACTTGAGTTTGTGTTTGGTTGTGTACATTTGAATTATGGTTTGAAATAAGAATCTTTTTGAGTTTGTGTTTGAGTGAATCAAAACTTGAATTTGTATTTAGATATTATTTTAATAAAAACTCAATGCTGCTGAAAAATTTTAATAGGGTATATGGGTCAGATTTTATTCATCTTTTCGTTGTCAACGCATAAAAAAAATCATCTCAATCAGAATTTAAACGAAAAAGTTATAGCATTTTTAAGAATAGAAAAAATATTGTTCATTAATTTGAGTTTGAGTTTCTGAACTCGAGTTTAAGGATTCATTTCGTTGATTCGAGTTTAGAATTTGAGGTTTGCTATAGTAAAAAGCTCTCACAAACAATCACATCTAATTTTTTTACTACAGTAAAAAGTTCTCACATAAAATTACATCTCAACTCGAATTAAAAATTCGAATCAGCGAACTAAACGAGAACTCGAATTTTAGTCTTAAACTTGAGTTTGAACTCAAATTTAAACTTAAAAGAACATGAACTCGAATAAAGTTATAATTTGAGTTAGTCTTTTTTAAAATTTTTCACTAGAGTAAGCCCGAAATGTATTAATGATAAATAATTGTGCCAAGTTTGGTGGGTTTGGGTTTTGAAATTGGAGGATCAGACAACCCACCACCAGACCAGACCAGACCAGTTGCGTTGCTTGCGGCTCCCCTCTCTCTCTCTCTCGTTTCTCTTTCTGTTTGCCTTTGGGACTTTTTTAGAGAGAGAGAGAAGTGAGAGAAACAGTAAGAAAATACTACTTTTTAATTAATTAATTTTAGAATTTATATTATTATTTTACATTTGCGGCGAAGAAGAAGAATAAGAAAAGAAACAATTACAATTACAATTACATTACATAGCGACTACCACTACTACTTGACTACTTGTACTTGTACTTGTACTCGTACTGCAACTTCTTCTTCTTCTTCTTCTTCTTCTTCTTCTTCCATGACGATGACGATGGCGATTGGCGATAATAAGATCTATTTGATCGACTAGTTCTTCTTCTTCTTCTTCTTCTTCAGTTCAGGTAAGAATCAATAACATAAATCAAATCTCGATTAAATAGTTCTTCCACATTCTTTGCTGCTTTTTTTTTCTTTTTGGATCTTCTTCGGAAATATGCTTCATAATAAGATTTAACCCATTTCTGGAAATCCTTCTTCAGATCTTCTTCCTCATCTGCATTTCCAACCTTTTACCAATATTGATATTATGATTTTTCATTACTTTTCTTTTTCTTCTATTCTACTGCTTTGATGAATTTTTGACCACGAGAAAAAAAAATCAAGTTTGAAATTATTACTATATTTATCTTACAAATTTTTGCTTCTTTTTCTAAGCTAACTCAGGAAATTAATTGGAAAAACAAAATAATTGATTGATCTTTCTCTTTTGAGCTGGGAAAAAAAAAACAAAAATATTCCCGTCGGTCATTTCTGGCTTACACATTCTATAAAATATAAAATAATTACATTAGATATCTCTTAGTCAAAGTTTGTTACATTCTTATGCCACTGTTTAGTTTAAAGAAATATGTATACATGTGATGATTTTGGTTCTTCATATTAGATTTAGATAGATATCTCCGTTTCTGAGTTCTGATATAAATTGCTTCCTTCCACATTATTCAGTTGGATCATTCCCTTTGCCTTTTGTTTTGTTTTTTTTGTTTTTTTTGTTTTTTTTTGTTTTTTAATAAAGTAACTCAAAAAAAGAAAAAAAAATTAATTAGTGGTTTCGTCTTTAAATGTGATCCTGATCACATTACTTTCTCATTCTACAGAACAAGTTAACAAACATGTTGACTGTTAGTTAGTTAGTTAGTTTGTTTGATAACTTCTTCTGTTTTACTGTTCTCCCTTTCTTTCATAACTATTTGTTCTAAATCGTTGTCTGTCTGTCACATTACCATTACAATTACATAGTGGTCTTCTGGTGCTCTGTGCTCTCTAAAGTGTAGAGAAGAGCAATCGATTGATGGGTTCAAGATTCCCATCTCATCAACTCAGCAATGGCCTCTATGTATCGGGCCGCCCCGAGCAGCCTAAAGAGAGGACTCCCACTTTGAGCTCAGTAGCTATGCCTTACACAGGTGGCGATATCAAAAAGTCGGGAGAGTTGGGCAAAATGTTTGACATCCCTACAGATGGTTCTAAGTCGCGGAAATCCGGACCAATAAACACTGCTCCTTCAAGGACTGGATCATTTGGAGGGGCTGCTTCACATTCGGGACTGATCATGGCCAATGCCGCACCTCGTGGCACTTATACTACGTCGGGCCCTGTAACTTCTGGCTCTGCTTCAGCTTCACTAAAGAAGACAAACTCTGGACCATTGAATAAGCACGGGGAACCTATAAAGAAGTCGTCTGGTCCTCAATCAGGAGGCGTGACTCGCCAGAACTCTGGCCCTATTCCTCCAGTTCTTCCCACAACAGGTCTTATTACATCCGGACCGATTTCTTCGGGCCCACTCAACTCATCCGGCGCACCAAGGAAGGTATCGGGGCCTTTGGAATCTACAGGGTCGATGAAAGTACACGGTTCTTCTGTTGTTAACAATCAAGCTGTCACTACCTTGAGCCAAGATGACGAGTATTCCTTCAGGAGGAACTTTCCAAAGCCAATATTGTGGTCTGTGATACTGCTATTCATAATGGGCTTCATAGCTGGTGGGTTTATTCTCGGAGCGGTTCGCAATGCCATTCTCCTCATTGTTGTAGTAGTTCTTTTCGCAGCGGTCGTGGCATTGTTCACTTGGAATACCTGTTGGGGCAGACAAGCCGTTGTTAATTTCATTTCCCGCTATCCCGATGCTGAGCTTAGGACTGCGAAAAATGGACAACTCGTGAAAGTTTCTGGGGTACGTTGCTTAAAAAATTCCGGTAGAATATCATTTTGCCTTTGTGTGCTGTTGTTAGATTTTCTTTCAACCTTCTGTTTTGACTTTTCATTGGTTTATATATTTATTTATTTTTTCAATTCATTCGTTGAAATATAGTTTGAGATGGGATTAAGACTTGTTGTTGTTTGTTGTTTGTTTGTTTGTTTGTATTCGTTGAAATATAGTCTGTGTAAGTTCTGTTTCTTCTTGCTCTGTATGTGTCATGTATATTTAAAATGTTCCAATGTTACCAACGATTTATCGGACAGGCGGAGAAACAGAGAGTGTGGAAATATAATTTAGTTTCAGAATATAAACTCAATTACTATGCAACAGTTAGAAACAGTGTACAAGTTAACGCTTGCCAATTATTTTCCAAAGCATCACATGTCTATGAAGTTGAATAAAGCAAATGTCATGAACAGGCGGGGTTTCCCCCTGCCTTTGAATGTGGCAGCAATATATCAATATAGAAGTATGGTAATTATATATACTTTCTCTGATGATATGAGCAGGTGACTCAAAAGGGTGCATGCACACGCACGCGCATTTATACCTACAGCAGCATCTTTTAATTAGACCGAACTAATTAAAGATTTTGTTTAATTGAGAGAATTTTCCATGCTCACTTTACCAGCTAATGAATTTGGATATGTATTGTGTTTCAATTCACGTTTTACCTCAACTCCTATTGGAGAAAGACTAAGCATGTTGAAATTTTTAACTATTCCATTACTTTTCCAGTCCAAAGAAAAGAAGAATTTCTTAAATGTCTTAAACAATGCTGACATTGTTATATGGTAAGGGTCCTCAAGTATCTGGTGCGGAGACATAGTGAGAGAGGGGGGAAGATATATATATATATATATATATATAGAGAGAGAGAGAGAGAGAGAGAGAGAGAGAGAGAGAGAGAGAGAGAGAGAGAGAGAGAGAGAGAGAGAGAGAGAGAGAGAGAGAGAGAGAGAGCTTCAGATATCTTCTGTGTTTTTCAGTCTGGTTAGTTGCCATATTAGCCTTTTGCATATGCATGCATAAATGAAACATTTCAAAGATTCACGTTTATGATTTTTGCAATCCTTGAAGGTGGTTACCTGTGGTAACGTGCCCCTTGAGTCATCCTTCCGGAAAGTTCCTAGATGCGTCTACACATCAACGAGTTTGTATGAGTACCGGGGATGGGATTCAAAACCAGCAAACTCCAGACATCGTCGTTTTACATGGGGACTTAGATCCTCAGAGGTAGGTAACTGAAATATTTACATGTGCAACTGTTTAACACAGATAATGGGACAGCTATATCTAGATGCTTTTGAATACTCCCTGCTTCATGAATAAATTACATCTTTATTTTAAAGTATCACTTTTAACTTTATTATATTTTCTCTACTTCCTGGATACAAAGCTTTAAAATTGAGTAGGCTTTTCACTGCTAGAGTAATATGGCATTTGTGAAGAGAGCTTCTGTATTCTTTTTGCTGGTTAAGTAGTACCACTTGGAGGAATTTCAATAAAAGCAGATAGGAAATAGAGGGCATGTCATCCTCTAAAGGAAGTTAAAATATATACATATATACATTTATATCGAAAGATATCCTAGAAGACTTAACAAAAGACTGAACACTGTGAATTTGAAACAATGCTACTGCAGCATAAGCCATAGGTGAAGGAACATCTTTAAAATATTTAGAGCTAGCAGCCCCACACGAAGCGAAGTGTTTAACTGTTAGCACTCCAGCCCTCAAGTTTGTGTATGCGAGAAGGAGTAAGGAGCAGGGGCAGGAGGGGAAATTGGCTATCACTGGATCAAGGCAAGGGTAAAGGGCGTCGTTAGAATACGGTTATGGGTTATGGGGATGTGTGCAAGGGTCAGATTTGGGGAAGGGGAGTTAGTTAGAGGATTGTGAAATAACTAGCCTACGGCTAGAGAATGTAGGGTATCGAGAATTAAGAGAAGACTTGAGTCTGTGGAGGTTAGGAGGGGTCCTCGAATTCACCTCCATCTTTAATTTTCAGTATTTTCCAGTATTGCATTTTGTTTTCCCTGTACGTATTTGATTGTCATTCAATCAAAGGAACTAGGCCATTCTGGTTGTTTCTTCGGATTCCCTATTGTTTTCCTTAGCTCCACGTATAATTTTTCTGTCTAGAACAGAGGGAGTCCTAACAGTTTTGGTATCAGAGCACCGATCCATGGCAAACCAAACAGATTGTTTCACGTTGTTGGAGAGGAGATTGAATGGGTTCGAGGACTCTCTGCAATCCTTCGGGGACATGGTGAGCCCAGTTCCTCGCCTCCAAGGGGACGTGGTGACGTTGGGAGCACGCCTCGGCGAAGTACAAGGTGAGATGGCTTCCATGGGAACCAAGATCGACGGGCTCCAGGGCTCAATCGTGAGGTTGGAGGAGTTAATGGTGAGGCAAGCACGCATCGACTAGTCACCACCCAGGCGGCAACGGGGCGAGTTCAATTCTCAAGGGCGGGGAAGGAATGATCAGACGCCCCCACGGAGGGAGGCCTTGTGGCCAGGCCGAGGCGAGTTCAGTCCGCCGAGGGGGGAGCCAGCGAGGGGAAGAATGGGATACCCCCGCCACAGGTCGCCGGAGAGAGTGCGAAATCAAGGGGAACACCGGGAAAGAAGCTGGAACTTCCCTTGTTCCATGGGGAGGATCCTCATGGATGGATTTTCAGGGCCGAGCGATATTTCACCGTCAACGAAGTGGTCGAAGACGAGAAGATCCTAGCTACTTCCGTATGCATGGAAGGTCGAGCCCTTAGCTGGTATCAATGGCTTGATTCACAGGAGCCGTTTGAAGAGTGGTAGGAGCTGCGCGCAGCCATCCTCCAGAGGTTCAGCCTGTCGCGGGAAGGAGACCCCACCGAGAGATTAATGGCGCAAGGGGGAACGGTGGCGGAGTACCGGGAAGGGTTCGAGGCCTTAGCAGCGACTCTGAGCGGCATTCCCGAGAAAGTTTACAGAAGCGCTTTCCTCAATGGCCTGAGGGAGGATATACGGGCGGAGGTGAAGATGCACAGGCCTATTGGGCTGCCCGAGACCATGGACTTGGCCCAGCAGGTGGAAGACAGGTTGGAGGCAGTGGATCGGGTACGGAAGGGTCGGAGCAACCGGATTGATTATTGGGGTAAACCGGGTTATAACCATAGCCCTAGTTTCTCGAGCACTCCAGAGGGCTCCCTTCGATCCCAAGCACCGCGCGACCTCCCCACAGCACCGCGACACCGAGAGGCTCCTGGAGGGGCAGTGGGGGCGGTGGCTCACCTTTCCGAAGGCTTTCCTACAAGGAGATACAACAGAAACGGGCACGGGGGCTTTGTTTCCGGTGCGATGAAAAGTTTAACCCGGGATACCGCTGTAAGCTCCGACAGCTTCAGGTCCTTCTCGTCTCCGGAGAAGACTCCGACCAGGAGGAGGACCTTCGGGAGGAACCGGCTGAAGCAGCAACCGTACTGGTGGAGACCACCGAAGGTAACGTCGATCTTTCACTCAACTCCCTTCGGGGATTTGCCTCCGCAAAGACCATGAAATTGCGAGGAACCATCGGCGATAGGGAAGTCGTCGTGCTAGTCGATAGTGGGGCCTCCCACAGTTTCATTTCAGCTGAGCTGGTGTGGACTCTGGCCCTACCAACGGACTTATCCGTGCGGCACAATATTCAGGTGGGCAACGGTATGAATTTTCAACAAAACGGGGTGTGCCGAGGGGTACGGCTTCACATACAGGGACACTGGGTGATCGAGGACTTCTTCCCGTTTGAATTAGGCAGTGCGGAGGTGGTTTTGGGCATTACTTGGCTATGTACCCTGGGAGAGGTTCGGGCAGATTGGGCGAATTTCACCATGAAATTCCAGCAGGAGGGCAGCTGGGTACAGTGGACGGGGGATCCATCCCTCAGCTATTCTCTGGTAAATTTCCGTTCCTTAACTCGGTTTTGTCAAGCATAGGAGGTGGGGGTGCTCTTGGAATTAAACACTGTAGAGGCAGAAGGGCCAGACGTGGAAACGCCCAACTTGCCTCCGGAATGTGATGGCCTTCTCCGGCGATTCCACCACGTTCGCGTAGGGCGAGGGATCACTGGATAATCCTGCGAGAGGGGGCGACTCCTCCCAACATTCGGCCCTACAGGTACCCGCAGATACAAAAAGGGGAAATAGAAAAATTGGTGTCGGACATGCTGGTTTCAGGCATCATACCCTTTCGCCAGCCCGGTACTGTTGGTTAAGAAAGGACGGTAGTTGGAGATTTTGTGTTGACTACCGAGCCTTAAATCAGCTTACGGTTCCGGATAAATTCCCGATTCCGATCATCGACGAGCTATTGGATGAGCTACATGGAGCTTCGGTTTTTTCCAAATTTGATTTGAAAGCGGGGTTACCATCAGATACGGGTGCGGGAAGGCGATGTGGAAAAAACGGCGTTCCGCACTCATGACGGGCATTACAAGTTCTTCGTTATGCCCTTTGGCCTCACCAATGCGCTGGCCACATTTCAATCACTAATGAACACGGTATTTCGCCCTTTTCTCCGCAAATTTGTACTAGTTTTTTTTTTTTTTTATGATATACTAGTCTACAGCATGTCATGGGAAGAACATTGTGGTCACCTAAGGCAGGTCCTCACGGTCTTACAACAGGAAGCCTTATTTGCTAACTACAAAAAATGTGTCTTCGACCAGCAGAGGGTGGAATACCTCGGCCATGTCATTTCTTCGGAGGGGGTGTCGGCCGACCCATCCAAGGTCGAGGCCATGGTCTCCTGGCCGACCCCTCAAAATGTAAGGGACCTCCGTGGATTTTTAGGCCTTACGGGTTACTATAGATTGTTTGTGAGGGGATATGGTACCATTGCCCGCCTTCTCACCAATCTACTTAAAAAAGGGGCTTTCTTTTGGGCCAACGAGGCGGCTGCAGCCTTCCTTCAGTTGAAGACAGCGATGACGAAACTGCCCATTTTGGCCATGCCAGACTTCACCAAATTATTTGTGGTAGAGACTGATGCCTCGGGAACCGGGGTTGGCGCCGTTTTAATGCAGGACGGCCGACCCCTTGCTTACTTTAGCAAGGTGCTTTCTGCCACATCTCGTCTGTCTTCAGTATATGAGCGCGAGCTCCTGGCCATTGTGCTCGCGGTGCAGAAATGGAGACACTACCTCCTGGGGCGACACTTTGTCGTGCGCTCGGACCAGCAGAGCCTGTGTTTTCTCTTGGATCAGCGGGTTCTGCCACTTGAGCAGCTATGCCTGGTTGCCAAGTTACTCGGTTACGACTTTGAAGTTCAATATAAACGGGGTGCAGCAAACAAGGCCGCAGATGCCTTGTCTCGGCGTGGAACTGTAGCAGATGCATCCCTCGCAGCCTTATCTATTCCCCATCATTTTGACATCGAGGCCCTTAAAAGAGACCAACAAACAGATCCGGACTGCGCCAGGCTTATTTTTGCCGTGCAGCAAGATCAGCCTCTGCAGGAGGGCTTTGGTTTTCGCCAAGGGCTGCTCAATATTCGGGACCGTGTGGTCCTGCCCCCCATCATCGGCGTGGATCACCCGGGTGTTGCATGACTTCCATGACTCGGAGGTTGGGGGGCACTCTTGTTTCCTGCGGACTTACAAACGGATAGCAGCCATTTTCTTTTGGATGGGAATGAAAAAGGCCATAAAGGATTATGTGGACCAGTGTGAGACTTGCCAACAGAAGCTTTGTCGCCAGCAGGGCTATTACAACTACTGCCTATTCCAGCTCGGATTTGGGAGGATGTCTCTATGGATTTTATCGGTGGCCTTCCAAAGTCACGAGGGATGGATACTATTTTAGTCGTCGTCGATCGCCTATCCAAGTATGCGCATTTTTGCCCCTTGGCGCACCCCTATACAGCCACCCAGGTGGCTGCCTTGTTTGTCCGCGAGATCGCCCGATTACATGGATTTCCCTACTCCATAGTCAACGACCACGACTCGATTTTTATGAGCCATTTCTGGCGCGAGATGTTCAGACTCTAGGGAACAAGGCTGCACCCGAGCACAACTTATCATCCCCAATCGGATGGCCAAACGGAAGTTACAAATCGGTGTTTGGAAACATATCTCCGATGCTTCGCCTGCGACAAGCCGCGGCAGTGGCTGTCGTTTTTACCTTGGGCAGAGTATTGGTTTAATACTACATATAATGCTTCAACCAAGTACTCTCCCTTCCAAGTAGTGTATGGCCGTGAACCTCCTCCCCTGTATCGTTTTCCCGAAGGATCAACAGCCGTCAATGAGGTCGATGTCCAGCTCCAGCAGCGCAATCTCATGCTAGACGCCCTCAAGGATCATTTGCTCTTAGCACAGCAGTGCATGAAGCATTTTGCTGATCAACACCGCAAGGAGGTCAACTTCGCCCCTGGTGACCTGGTTTTACTAAAGCTGCGGCCCTATTTCATGAGGTCATTGGCACGTAAACTCAATGAAAAACTTAGCCCTCGATTTTATGGACCTTTTACCGTTCTAGCTAAGGTCGGGCCAGTTGCTTACCACCTCAAGTTGCCGGAGAGCTCCAAAATTCACCCGGTCTTCCACGTCTCTCGGCTTAACACCTTTAAGGGGCAGCAGTACAGCGGTCTGGCTTTGCCGGAACAATTGACTGATGCGTTGGAGCTCCTGGTTCAGCCAGTTTCAGTTTTGGACTCCCGGTTTGTGACTGTAGGAGGGCGCCAGGTACATTTTTGCCCCTTGGCGCACCCTTATACAGCCACCCAGGTGGCTGCCTTGTTTGTCCGCGAGATCGCCCGATTACATGGATTTCCCCACTCCATAGTCAACGACCACGACTCGATTTTTATGAGCCATTTCTGGCGCGAGATGTTCAGACTCTAGGGAACAAGGCTGCACCCGAGCACAACTTATCATCCCCAATCGGATGGCCAAACGGAAGTTACAAATCGGTGTTTGGAAACATATCTCCGATGCTTCGCCTGCGACAAGCCGCGGCAGTGGCTG